CAAACTGCATACAATTATACAAATCAACAAAATACATTTTTAAAATTTTAATTATTTATAAAAAGTGGTTAACTTTTTAATTAAACAATGAAATGTCTTTATTTAAAAAAAAAAAACTTTCTCAAGGGAGGGGGGGATAATTTAGGATAAAAGTGTAAAGGCTTTAACACTTTACTTAAATCCTTTATGTATAAGTAGGTTTCATGCATTAATTATGCCTTTGTAATGCACATTATAATCCATTGTATAATCTCATGAATAATTGTAACTACGGTTAATACATTATAACACTTCTCAATTCATTGTTACACTATACATTTTAAAATCAGTTATAATTATTTACAACAAGATATAGCATATTACAATGCACATTATCAATAATTATAATGCATTATACATTTTAATAACCATTTATAATGCATTATACTTAAAGGCTTTAAGTAAAGTGTTACCAATAAAGAATTACAAGATGTAAACTCAGTTTATAACTTGCAATTGTTAAATATTAACTTACAATTGTGAGAAAAAGTCAGAATTATGAGCTATAAACAAGATGTAAATGTATCATTATTCAGAGAAAAAAGTACAAATTTTGAGTTTGAGTTTATAACTTGAAATAGCAAGATATAAGCTCACAGAGGGGAAAGAAAAAGCCAGAATTATGAGATTAAAACTCGGAATTGTGAGATATAAAAAAGTCAATAATTGTGAGATGTTAAGACCTAGTGGAAGTAAAGTCCAAACTGTGAGAACTTGAAATTACAAGAAAAAAGGAAAGGAAAAGAAAACTGAACTGCAAGATGTGTGAGTTTAACTTGCACGATTGAGATATAAACTCTCAATTGTGAGAAAACAAGTCAGAATTGTGAGATAAAAAGTTGCAATTACCTTTTTATTTTCTATGACAGAAACAAGCTTCCATACCCATCCCCCTCATTTCCTGCTTGCAATATGATTTTCTAAATGCTGTTTGCTCGTGACTTTGCTCCTCATTTTTGATGTTTTTTCACCACATCAAATTTACGTCTGCATTTTCAACTAAACATTTTAAAAATAAGCTTGAAGCCAGTTTGTGAAATACGCTCTAACTTTCCGTCATCTCTCTGTTTGGTGTGTGTGCGTGGATGTTTGTTTCCTCGTTCGTGTCTATGTGTGTCTGTTACAGGTGACCTTTTCGGACGCTATGAGGAGCAAAGCGAGGCTGTCTATTACTGGGAGTACTGGCGAGAATGGACGTGTGATGAGTCCTGAGTTCCCCAAATCAGTACATGCGGTGCCCTTTGTTAGACCTGGTGTGGGAATGAACGTCAGTCTGACTGATCTCTCCTGATGGATAAGAACCTGCCGAGTGCCTTACACAATGGTTTTCAATAGAGTGTGTTATATTCTCTTTCCTGTCGCTCTTTCCCCTATCTCTCACCTGAATGGAGGACGGAAGCCTCATTTGATGTCACAGAGACATAATTCTTCCTTGGCCCTTTATAACAAAAGATGCACTCTTCTAGTGGAAATATGCTGACTGACACAAAGATATTCGCTTAGCGAGCTGATGACATCTACCCCCTGTAACGGATATTTTATTTCGTGATTTGAACTCTGAATTGCAAGAAAAATATAAGAATTGCGAGATGTTAAGACCTAGAAAAAAAGAAAAGTCTGAAGTGTGAGAATTGATTACAAGCTTTCTCAAGGGAGGGGGGGATAATTTAGGATAAAAGTGTAAAGGCTTTAACACTTTACTTAAATCCTTTATGTATAAGTAGGTTTCATGCATTAATTATGCCTTTGTAATGCACATTATAATCCATTGTATAATCTCATGAATAATTGTAACTACGGTTAATACATTATAACACTTCTCAATTCATTGTTACACTATACATTTTAAAATCAGTTATAATTATTTACAACAAGATATAGCATATTACAATGCACATTATCAATAATTATAATGCATTATACATTTTAATAACCCTTTATAATGCATTATACTTAAAGGCTTTAAGTAAAGTGTTACCAATAAAGAATTACAAGATGTAAACTCAGTTTATAACTTGCAATTGTTAGATATTAACTTACAATTGTGAGAAAAAGTCAGAATTATGAGCTATAAACAAGATGTAAAATCATTATTCAGAGAAAAAAGTAAAAATTTTGAGTTTGAGTTTATAACTTGAAATAGCAAGCTATAAGCTCACAGAGGGGAAAGAAAAAGCCAGAATTATGAGATTAAAACTCGGAATTGTGAGATATAAAAAAGTCAATAATTGTGAGATGTTAAGACCTAGTGGAAGTAAAGTCCAAACTGTGAGAACTTGAAATTACAAGAAAAAAGGAAAGGAAAAGAAAACTGAACTGCAAGATGTGTGAGTTTAACTTGCACGATTGAGATATAAACTCTCAATTGTGAGAAAACAAGTCAGAATTGTGAGATAAAAAGTTGCAATTACCTTTTTATTTTCTATGACAGAAACAAGCTTCCATACCCATCCCCCTCATTTCCTGCTTGCAATATGATTTTCTAAATGCTGTTTGCTCGTGACTTTGCTCCTCATTTTTGATGTTTTTTCACCACATCAAATTTACGTCTGCATTTTCAACTAAACATTTTAAAAATAAGCTTGAAGCCAGTTTGTGAAATACGCTCTAACTTTCCGTCATCTCTCTGTTTGGTGTGTGTGCGTGGATGTTTGTTTCCTCGTTCGTGTCTATGTGTGTCTGTTACAGGTGACCTTTTCGGACGCTATGAGGAGCAAAGCGAGGCTGTCTATTACTGGGAGTACTGGCGAGAATGGACGTGTGATGAGTCCTGAGTTCCCCAAATCAGTACATGCGGTGCCCTTTGTTAGACCTGGTGTGGGAATGAACGTCAGTCTGACTGATCTCTCCTGATGGATAAGAACCTGCCGAGTGCCTTACACAATGGTTTTCAATAGAGTGTGTTATATTCTCTTTCCTGTCGCTCTTTCCCCTATCTCTCACCTGAATGGAGGACGGAAGCCTCATTTGATGTCACAGAGACATAATTCTTCCTTGGCCCTTTATAACAAAAGATGCACTCTTCTAGTGGAAATATGCTGACTGACACAAAGATATTCGCTTAGCGAGCTGATGACATCTACCCCCTGTAACGAATATATTAGACAACAAACTTGAAACTCATAGAAGCTCTGAGCGGAAAAGAGAGAAGTTAATAAAGTCTGTCTGTTTTCGTAGCTGATGCCGTTCCAATGTTTATTTCGGCTCAAGCACACTTTATCATCGTCTGCTTCAGGATGTGAAATGTCTTTTTCTTAATAAAACAAAAAATCTCTATGAAAAAGTATTTTTATGTATTTTCACAGAAATGGCTTTTAAATAAACCTGCTTACATACCAGTTAATTAAAGCTGTAAATCATAATCTCAACAGACTTTTAAGAGCTTAGCTACTAGTTTCACATTTTAATGCCAAATATGTTGCTTATCTTGTAATTTATTAGTCATCTTCTGATATATTCATTAACATTTTGGTGTTAATATGAAATATCTAGCAATGCTTGACATTTGAAATCTGTTTGAAATGTGGGTGCCACAGTTATGTTCTCTTACTTTCATCAACTTGTTTGGTTTCAAGAATATGTTTGTATTTTTTGTTTATCAAGAAAATCAGGGTAGCGGTTATAATTATACAAAAGAAAAAGTGTTTACAATATGAACATAACAAAAAAAGGAAAATGTTTAAAAAAATTACCTATTGTATTATTGCATATGTTTTGCTGTGAAATGAATAGAAGCATACACATCAACAAAATGCTCAAATGCTCTGTTAAAAATGCCAAATAATTAAGTGTGCCAAAATTATTGATAAATATAGTCATATATTAATCTGTCATCAATGTGAATGTAGTCAATACATTCTGTAAGTTTTGTTACTATATGTACAGTTTGATGGTATACGCAGTGATTTATCAATATTTTTAATTATTATTATTATTATTTTTTTTACTTTATAGCACTTTTAGCATTCAGACCACAATATGGATTTTTGTTTATTTATTTTTACATTTTCACTCTGCATCTTGAATTTGTTTTCCAAGCATCCAGGTTACATAAATATATTTTGTTTTCTTCCATAAAGAAATGCCATGTTACAGGCCAAAACATCTATGCTTATTCTTCAGTATTTAAGAAGCCACGAGAGAACAGTTTGTTTGATATATCGCAGTTACTATGACTATTTCCTATAAAAGCAATGGCAAATTAACACTTGATACTGCAATAAGCCAAGATTAAAAAACAAAAATGTCCCTAAAAGTGAGAATATATTTGTAAACTCAGAAAATGATCACAATTATGTACATTTTTGCATGATTTATTATTATTTTATTATTATTATTTTTTAATGTGTCCAGTTTATGTTTTTCCTTCTCACTTCTTCAGCCTTCCTCTCCTCAGTCTTCCATACAGTACTAGACTGAGAGACTGGTTAAGACTTTTGGTTTTGTCACAATATACTTAATATTAGTTGAACAAGGCCATGTCATTTTAAGGACCGCTCTCTCTACCATTTCGTAAATGAATGTGTGCCAACTTGTTTATTTTTTGGGATCCTTTCTAAATAAAAGCTGACTAATAGTTTTATGTTTTGACTGCAGTTTTCAATGACCAATGATTATAGCATACCACAGTTTCATATGACAGACGACTTCTCAGTCCTAGAAATATGTCTGAGCAGGAAGTGACAACATATACTCTGCAGGAGTTTGAAGTTGCAGAGCTTCATCTAGATGCCATTTTACAGAACATTTCAAGTCATCTGAGAAATACGTGCTAATCATTTTGATCTTTTTGAAGTAAAAAGTCATTTTAGCACGATTCGTTTAAGTGTTCCCAATGTAATCATAGACAAAATGACTCACTCAAACACACAATCAAGGATTTCAATCTTCCCAATAGATAATTCATGAAGTGATTTACACACACATTCCTTGTTGTGTTGGGATGGATTTGACTGTGTCTG